TGACTCAGTGGAGAACTTCCAAAAATCCGTGAACTCCTCAGGAAAGGCTGGCAAGCCCTGAGAGCGGTGGGCAAGATGGACTTGGAGCAAGAGTTGGCTACTCGTCAGTTTAAACTGGAACAGCCGCTGCCAGTGAGAGTCGCCCAGTTTACCAGCTTAGGAAGACGCTGCAGTGTGGTCTCTGGAAGCCTTAAACTGATTAGCAGAATTTCCAGACTCCAAGTACCAAATTGTATACTTTGAATAAGAATTAATCTGATTAAGAAAATAACAGTCATTTTCCCCCCTGCCATGTTACACAATCATTTTGCTACGAAAATTACATCTAAGTAGCAGACAAAGCATGTACGTAGTAGACAGTCTATGCACTTGGGAGAGGTTTTCAGCACTTGTTTCTTGTGCTAGGGAGCCCTGGTGGGGGCTTTACTTTACCTATGACACTGCCAACCTAAAGGTCAGTGGTTCAAATCCACGGCTCCACTGGAGAAGGCCAGGCACTTGGCTTCCCCTAAAGATCTCAGGACCTAACGGGGCGGGGAGGATGTCACCATGACCCAGAGACTTGATGGTAGTCTGCCTGGTTTGATTTTCTTTGCAATGAGACATGAGAGTCCACAAACCAAATTGCTTCAAGAAATGATTTCCGTTTTAGATGTTTTGGTAGAAGGGTGCTCAGGGCTGCAATACATGTTAAATATGAAAGGTTTTCGTTGTGTGTTTTTTTTTTCCTTTTCTACTAGTTTATTTACAAAATTCAAATACATTGTTTTCAAGAACAAATTCTTCAACTTCCCTCTGAGAAATAATGTAGTACTTGTATCAGTTATGGCAGTCTGGAAACACTATTATTAGCTTTCTGTTTTCCATGATATTGGAATCGTCATACCACTTAGATGATTGTTTAGAAGTAACATCATTTTCATTAGAGTACACCATTTTTGCCAAGCTTTCGCATTTTCTAAAACAGAGAAGTATACATTTCTCATGCAGCCCCTTTTGCACCAAGTGCAGCTATCCAAATAAACTCGAGGCTATGTCCACAGACAGAAGGTTGGATAATGCACTGTCTCTGAAGTCATCATGTCATGTCAAGTGCTGACATGCAGCCAGGTGGGCTGAGGGAGGGCTATGAAGCCACCCAGACCTCAGTCCATGTCCACGCTTTGCCAGCAAGGAACAGACACCCTTCTGTGTGCCTGTGGCCAAAATGATCTCCATTCAAGATAAGTGTGTCCTATAGGTTTGCTTTCCATTGGGCTGTGCACAGTTCAGGGGGAAATACTGTATTTTGGCCTTTGTTATACTAACTTCATCTGTAAAATGGGAATGATCTGAAGCTATCCTAGATCTGAAGCTATCCTAGGGCAACTGGCTCAAAAGAACAATGAGTATCTGAGGCTTCTGCTACTCCGATAAGAGTGTCTTTTCCTTCTTTCTAACTGGTATCAAACAGTGGAGCTAGAGTGCTCCTTAAAGGTGAGGTTGGTGAGGTTTGTCTCATGTGTTTTGGGTGTGTTATCAGGTGGGCCCAGTCCCTAGAGAAGGATGTCATGCTTGGACAAGTAAAGGGTCAACAAAGGTGAGAAGACCCTCAATGAGATGGACTGACACAGTGACAAAAAAAAAATCAAATGGGCTTAAGAACAGCAGAGATTGTAAGGATGGAACAAAGCAGGCAAGGCTCCCTTCTTCAGTCCATAGTTGTTGTTGTTATGTGTCATCGAGTTGCCTGAGACTCATAGCAACCCTATGTACAACAGCCCTAAACCAACCTCTATCCTGTGCCAATCTTATTGTCTCCGACACACCTACCCCGATTACCCAGTCACTGAGTCAGTTCATCTCATAGAGGGTCTTCCTCTCCTGCGCTGTACCTCTCCAAGGACTGGTCCCTCCTTGCAACATGTCCAATGTCAGACGAAGCCTCAGAACCCTTGCCTCCAAGGAGCAGCCTGGTTTCACTGTCTCTAGGATGAATCTATTTGTTCTCCTAGCAGTCCATGGTATATTCAACACTCTTTTCCAGCACCACAGCTCAAAGGCATCAATTCTCCTTCTAGCCTCCCTAGTCCATAGTGTCACTAATAATACCAGGAACAACCTCCCTGAAGCATGTGTTCGTATTGTGGGCATATCAGCCATCCACAGATAGACTAAGACTGGCCACTATTACCCTGCTCTGTCACATCTTCCATCATCTCTCTGCGTCTATGGCTGCTGTCTTTTCAAAACTGGAGCTAATTTCATAATCAGAGGGACTAGTCTTATGGAAAGGAAAGAAGATCATTATGGCTACCTCGGCCTTTGTATTTGGCTTTTCATGAAAGCGATTTGGCTGATAATACAGAGACCACTTGATTACAAGGAATTCTGGGTGGTTACCGCTAGCACCCTGGTAGCCCGGATGCTAACATCCAGTGAGAACAAAGGAGCTGGATGTTAGAAGCTGCCACCTTCTAGAGCTGCTCACAGAACTAACCTAAGTCACAGGTTGACTGAATATCTACCACTGAATTCTTGGATGTTCACAAATCTTCTCGTACACTTAACTGACAAAGACATTGTCATCAACTAGAGGAAGCAATCGGAAGATCGGCATTCCATCAACCAGGGGGAACAGGCCAAGCAGAGGAAGATGAGAATTATCCCAGTCATTATGGGATTTCCGTTTTCTCAGACTCTAATCTCTCTCTCTGCAGAGAGAGGCTGAAGTAGGTCAGGCCTGCTGGCCTTAGTGGGCATCCCTCTTGGTGCAGGGCTCACTCCGGGCACTTTCCCTCCAGGCTCCAGGCCCCGTCAAACTGTGTACACAGTCAAATGTTCCCAGTCACTTGGAGATTACTCTGTCAAATGGTGAAGTCTGGAAGCTACTTAACCAGCAAGTTCTACTGAAATACGGCCGACTGATAGTCATGACGGTGCTGCTGATAAAAACGACCATCACGGTTCATCTGATGTGTCCTGTGTAAACTCCATCACCTGCCGCAGGGAAGGAAACTGCCATGGCTGAAGCCTCTGGGACCGAGTTCAGTGGCCTCTAGTTTTATGAAACCCACCGTCCTGCAGTCCCTTCTAACTCAAGGCAATGCTCCCTCAGGTTTCCAGGGCTGTAACTGTAACTGCTATGGACTCACACTGCCCACCTTTCTCCCAGGGGGTGGCGGGCGGAGCAGAAGCACGCACTTTGGGGTTAGGAGCCCAGCACATTAGGCACTGTGCCACCAGGGTCCTGCTGAATTAACTCGACACCACCATGCTAGCAAGCGCGCTCTGCAAACTCTGCCTCTGACTACAACTCGTGATTGATGAGCTTCTGTTACTTGTAAACGATTGAAATATTGCATTTATGCTCTCTATGAAAACGAGCTGATTTCACAGCAGGAGCCTAATACTCTTGCTTTTGGAGTAAGAACACTTTACAGAGGGAAAAACAGATGGCCAAAAAAGAATTTTGTCATGTTTGGAAACCTCCGTGGACATCTGAAAGACCCAGCTCTGTGTGTTC